CCGGGGACTGAACCCAGGTGAGCCGCATGCAAGACCATTGCCCTCCTCACCTGATGTACCATCTCTCGGGCACCCTGGCAGCCAGTGTTGACTTCGCCATCATCCCCTTCCCCCCCCCCCCACCCCAACCCCCCACGCCCCAACCCCTTTGCCCGCCAAGCCACAGTGCTTGGCAGGGCCTGGGCAGTCCCTCATTCCTGTGCTGCCCGGGCAAATCAGCTGGCAGCAGGAGGGATGGGGGTTCTGAGGCTGGACGCGATGGCCACTTCCTGCAGGAGATGGAGCAGGGGCCGAGTTGCTAAGTAAGACACCCCACCCCACACACACACCTGGCACTGGCAGAGGCCACCTCTGTCCTTGGGACTGGGGCCCTGGTGGTCGTTTCCATGCCACACGGAGGAAGGACCCAAATGCTGGGCACTTGCCCTCCTGCCCGGCCATCCTCCCTTCCTTCCTTTCTTTCCTTCTTTCTTTCTTTCTTTCTTCTTTTTTCTTTTTGGGCCACGCCCAGCATTGCACAGGGGTTACTCCTGGCTCATGCACTCAGGAATCACTCCTGGCGGTGCTCGGGGGACCCTATGGGATGCTGAGAATCGAACCTGGGTCGGCCACGTGCAAGGCAAACGCCTTACCCGCTGAGCTGTCGCTCCAGCCCATGCCCCACCTTTAAGAAAGGACTTTATCACACTCCAGCCTTTGCCTTGTTGAGCTCTTTACAGAGGTGGAGACTGGGGCAGTGAAGACGGTGAAACCCCTCCACATTTCCTCCCATTACCTCCTGCTCGCAGGCCCTGAGACCCCCCCCCTCCTTGTTTGAGGGACTCCCCCAATGTGGGCAAGCTGTGTGGTTAGAACCATCACGACTCCTTAGGCGCGTGGGAAAGGACAGTGACAGGGCATTCGCTGGGCCTCATTCACACAGGGGCTCCTGCAGGCCCTCTCCCCAGATGACCCCTTCAAAGGCAGCCGCTCAACGCACTGGCCCACGCCTGCCAAGCTGAGGATAAATGACACAGAATAAATGACTATTTAAAAAAAAATTTTTTTTTTTGGTCCCACTCAGTGATGCTCAGGGGTTCCTCCTGGCTCATGCACTCAGGAATCACTCCTGGCAGTGCTCAGGGGACCCTATGGGATGCTGGGAATCGAACCCGGGTCGGCCGCGGGCAAGGCAGATGCCCTCCCAACTGTACTATCACTCCCTTTCAGCCCTGACATTTGTCCCAGGCTCAGACCAGCACATGACAATGACTCCCAGCCCCGCCAGCCCCACACCCCCAATGAATCCCCCCCACCCCCCCACCCCAGGCCACGGTTGTGGGGGCTCATCTCTCAGTCACTCGATCCCCCACATCTGCCCTGCCCACCCCACCAGGGCTCTGAACGGGTAGAGGGGGAGCAGCGTGGGGCGTCAAGCAACAAGGGCAGGCACAGGGGCTGTGGGTGCAGGGGCGGTCAGGGTGGTCCTGAGAACAGCGGCATCTCGGTGCATCTCGATGCTGCGGGCCGAACTCAGGCCAGGCTCTCGGTGGGGGCAGCCTTGCCTGTGCCCCTGCGTGTGCCCGAGATGACCGGGCTGGGGGGTCCACTGTCTTAGGCGCTGCTGCGGGAGGGATGGGGTGCCGCGGGGTCCCACTTAGCTTCAGTTCCTCGCGGAGACCAAGGCCTCTCGCTTTGTGCCCAGCGCCACCCAGCGGAGAGAAGCGGAAACGCCGCAGAAAGGAAGCCCCCCACCCCCACCCCTCTGTCCTCTCCAGGGCCAGGCCGGGGCAGAGCAGGAAAAGGAGCCGCTTGCCCACCCTCAAGGAGCTCTCCACCGGCCAGGGGAAGGGCGGGGGGTCAGCAGGTGGGCGGGGAGCCGCAGTTCCCACTCACCCCTCGAGATACTGGGGGTGCCTGTCCCGCCTGAGCCCCAGGGCTGCCTGCATGTTTCCCCACCTGGCTTGAGTGGTGTTGAGTGAGTAAAATGAATTGGCTTCTTAGCGGCCTGGAGCGGGAACTGTGACTAGGAGGGAGGACGGGGTGCCACTCCAGGGTATGGCGTCCTGGGTTCAATTCCTGGCCCTGCCACTTTAGGATAATAGAGCAGATTTAAAAATAATAATAATAATAATAATTATGTAGGAATATTGCTATTTGTTCAGCCACTGATTAAGCTGATTGAATTGGGAATGAACTCCACATTACTTTTTTTTTTATTTTATTTTAGCGAGAGCACAGCAGGTAGGGCATTTGCCTTGCGCGTGGGCCAACCCGGCCCACCCGAGTTCGATTCCTCCGTCTTGGAAACCTCCGTCCCTCTCGGAGAGCCCGGCAAGCTACTGAGAGTATCTCGCCTGCACGGCAAAGCCTGGCAAGCTCCCTGTGACATATTGGATATGCCAAACACAGTAACAACAAGTCTCGCAATGTTACTGGGCCCGCTCGAGCGAATCAATGAACAACGGGAGGAGAGTGGACAGTGACGGTGTATAACCGTGAGATAGAGAAACAACGCTTTCATGTTTGAGATTCAGCCGTACAATGATGGAACACCCATCCCTCCACCAGTGCACAATCTCCACCACCAATGTCCCCGGTATCCGCTACCCCCTACTCCCGCCCAACACACATACACACACACACACACACACACACACACACACACACATCCCTGCCTCTATGGCAGGCAATTTCCCCAATACTCTCTCTCTCTCTTTCTAATTTGGGGCACTATGTTTCGCTCAAATTTTCCCACCATCATTCAAGCCTACCTGCCAGGGGGCGGATGCTAGATAATTTATTTTCCACTGCTCATTTTGAATATCATGAGAACTCGCATGGCCGCGATCGCACATGTAAAGTTCTAGATTATAAATGGCTGGGTTCCAGAGACATCTCTGTATGGCACTGATCCATTTTGGGATTCCATTGGGAGTCTCTGGGCCAGGGCTGTTGGTGCGCTAAGATGGAGCCCAGAGGCAAATTGTGAGTGTGGCAGCCAGTCCTCTGGGTGGGTGGGGACCGGTGGTGGGACAGCCCAGGTCCTCTGCCGCCATGTGGCCTGGAGATGTAGTCCTGGAACCCGCATATCGAGGGCCTGGCTTGAAGCTCTTGGTTACTGGGATTCCACCTGGAGTAAGCGGGGGGAGGGGGGCTGTACCTGCTTCATCTGGGGTGCCCTGGTTATACTGGCCGGTATTGGGGCCTGGAATGGAATAGATTTAAGGGTGTAAGAGACCAGGTGGAGCATGAAGGAAGCGAATGAAGTGGAGGCCAGCCGAGAGAGAGATGGCTCTGGGCTCTGGGCTCTGGGCCTTGGGCGGCATCCTCCGCCCACCTCCATACTCCCTACTTGGGGCCCTGCCTTTCCCAGCTCCTGGTCTTCCAGCCAACCTTTTCTTCAGACCCGCTCCCCAATTCTCTCCCGTGCCTCTGCCTGCAGCCACCTGCAGGTGCTACAGATGCCCCCACACACACGGACTCCGACCCCCGATCCCCAGCTTTTTTTTTTTTTTTTTGCTTTTTGAGTCAATGATGCACAGGGGTTCCTCCTGGCTCTGCATTCAGGAATGACTCCTGGCAATGCTTGAGGGACCCTTTGGGATGCTGGGAATCGAACCTGGGTTGGCCGCATGCAGGGCAAACGCCCTCCCCGCTGTGCTATCGCTCTGTCCCCTTGACTGTTTTTTGCAACTACATGGCATCTTCTTATGGTCGGGTGAGGGCGTTTGGGTCACCCCCGCAGTGCTCAGGGTTTATTCCTGGCTCTGCACTCAGGGATCACTCCTGACAGGGATCATTCTCAGGGTCATCATATGGGGTCCGAGGGATTAAACCCGGGTTGGCCACGTGCAAGATAAGCACCTTCCCCACTGTACCATCACCCCGGGCCCAGCTCCATGGCATTTTCTTTTTTGTTTGTTCTTTTGTGATCCACAAACTGTTGTGCTCAGGGTTCACTCCTGGGGGACTCAGGAGACCGTATAAGGGGTACTGGGGTCAATCCAGTACTGAGACGTGTGTAAGGCGAGAGCTTGGGTCTCTCTGGCCCCAGCACTTTCTGCTGTGCCCTCAGATGTCCAACACCCACCACCCAAGCTTCTCCCCTCTCTCCTCTCTCCCCCTTTCTCCCTCCCTGTCCCCCCACCAACTGAGCATCTCCTAAGGCCCAGTCACAGGCTGCCTGACTCCTGACTCCATCCTTGCCTGTCCCTCCTTGGTGCTCTCGGGCCCCCTCTGCCTGGAGAGGCCTCTAGGGTCCCGGAGTCCCATTCATTTACAGGCTGCGCTCAGAGTTCAGCTTCTCAGTGATACGGAACTGCAAGGAGTGGGTGGATGGAGGCCTCAGCCCAAGAAGAAGCCCTTCGTAAAAAGTCTGTGCATTGGGGCTAGAGCGATAGTCCAGCGGGAAGGGCGTTTGCCCTGCACGCGGCCGACCTGGGTTCGATCCCCGGCATCCCATAGGGTCCCCTAAGCACTGCCAGGGGTAATTCCTGGGTGCATGAGCTAGGAGTAACCGCTGAGCATCACTGGGTATGATCCAAAAAAAGCAAAAAAAAAAAAAAAAAAAAGGGAAATGTGATTCCTGCCTCTGGGCAGGCACCCAGCCTGTGCTCCCTGTCTCTCCCTGGGGTCCTGCACTTGGGGCCTGCTCCTTCCCCACTGGGTGGCCTAGGCAAGGCTGTCAGGGAGAATTAACTGGAGCTAGTGGGGATGGGGGGCACGTGGTGTGGGGAGAGTGTCACCTCTTAGATGGGAGGAGCTGATTAGCACTCCAGCTCGGCTAAAGGACTGTCAGGACTGCTGCTCATATGGGGGGAGGGAGACCCCAGGGAGGGGCAGCCATCCCCTTGCGACAGAGGGGCTCAAAGAGGGTTGTGACATCGTGGTGTTTTCTGAAGGGTCCTCCTGATTGCTCCATGGCCAAGGCGCCTGGCCTGCGGCCACCCCCCAGGGGGTTCTGTGAACTGACCCCCACACTCAGCCCCACTGACCTTCTCTTCCGCCACTCCTTCCAGGCAGACCTCAACACCAACATGGAGGACGAAGGCAACTCCTTCTATGGGGTGTCCAGCCAGTACGAGAGCCCAGAGAACATGATCATCACCTGCTCCACCAAGGTCTGCTCCTTTGGCAAGCAGGTGGTGGAGAAAGTGGAGGTAGGCACCACGCCACGGATCCCATGGATTCCCCAGCCTCACCTCCTCCCGGCTCTGGCCACTTCTCTCATAACCCACCCACTTCCGGTCACACAGAATCGGAAGTGATGGCCCCCATCTTAGGGGGGTTCTCAATACTGGCACCTAAAATGATTTTTTCTCGTCTTTTTTTTTGGGGGGGGGGGAAGATACCCAGCAGTGATCAGGGCTTACTCCTGGCTCTGGGCCAGGGGATCACTCCTGACAGGCCTGGGGGACCATCTGGGATGCTGGAGATCACACCCAGGTCAGTGTATGCAAAGGCAAGCACCCTACCCCCTGCACTATTGCTCCAGCCCAGGTTTTTTCATAACTCTTAAAGTGACTCCCTTTTCCCTCTTGTGGGACCTCATCTGTGCAAGGCAAAATGCTCTGATGCTGAGCCACATTCCTGGCTTGGAGTGACTCTGTGTGTGTGTGTGTGTGTGTGTGTGTGTGTGTGTGTGTGTGTGTGTGTATACACGGGAGTTCAGGGCTTAATCTTGTCTCTGTGCTCAGGGATCAGTCCTGCCAATGCTCAGGGAACCATAGGGAGTATTAAACTCAGGTCAGCCGCATGCGAGGGACCATGCCCACTGTACTGTTGGTGCTCCAGCCCTGGAGTGACTTTTGTTTTAGGGTCACACCCAGCGATGTTCAGGGGTTATTCCAGTCTCAGAGGTCAAGGGTTGCTCCTGGCAGTGCTCAAGGAACCGCGCGGTGCCAGGGAGGGAACCCAGGCCTCCCACGTGCAAAGTCTGCCCTATGCGTGCTCGTTCTAACCATCTATGGAAAGGAGGTGGTTTTTTCACATTCTTATAAGACCGTATGTGGTCCCTTGAGGCCCGCCTGCAGTGACCCCTGAGCACTGCCAGGTGGGGCCTAAAAACAAGCCAGTGAAAGAGTCCCCGCTGCCCTGGACCCCGCAGACCGAGTACGCGCGTTATGAGAACGGCCACTACTCCTACCGCATCCACCGGTCGCCGCTGTGTGAGTACATGATCAACTTCATCCACAAGCTGAAGCACCTGCCGGAGAAGTACATGATGAACAGCGTGCTGGAGAACTTCACCATCCTGCAGGTGGGTACAGCGTGGGGCGGGGCCAACGGGCAGGGTGGGGCGGGGCCGGCGAGTCCACAGGGCAGGGAGGGCCAATGGGGAGTCGAGGGGCGGGGCCAACAGGTCCGGAAGAGCCAATGGGGCGCGGTGAGGAGGGATCAATGGGTGGGGCTGGGCGGGGCCAACAGGCTTGCAAATGGTCAATGAGGTGCGGTGGTGCGGGACCAACAGTGGGGCGGGACCAGTGGGCCCACAGGGCAGGTAGGGCCAATGAGGAGGGAGGGGCGGGGCCAACAGCACCGGAAGGGCCAATGGGGCGCGGTGAGGAGGAACCAATGGGGTGGGGTTGGGCGGGGCCAACAGGCTCAGAAATGGTCAATGGGGCGTGGTGGTGCGGGATCAAAAGAGTGGGGCGGGGCCAGTGGGCCCACAGGGCAGGGAGGGCCAATGGGGAGTTGAGGGGAGGGGCCAACAGAACCGGAAGGGCCAATGGGGCGCGGTGAGGAGGGACCAATGGGTGGGGCTGGGCGGGGCCAACAGGCTCGGAAATGGTCAATGGGGCGTGGTGGTGCAGGACCAACAGGGGCGGGGCCAGTGGGCCCACTGGACAGGGAGGGCCAATGGAGGGAGAGAGGCGTGGCCAACAGGACCAGAAGGGCCAATGGGGCGCTGTGGGGCGGGGCCTGAGCTCTCCTCTCCGCCGTCCCCTGCAGGTGGTCACCAACAGAGACACGCAGGAGACTCTCCTGTGCATCGCCTACGTCTTCGAGGTGTCCGCCAGCGAGCATGGGGCCCAGCATCACATCTACCGGCTGGTGAAGGAATGAGAGACTCGGGGAGCAGGGGGGGGGGGACGCGACGACGTGTGTGCAGGGATGTGGGGGAGGGGGCCCGCTGGGGCAGCCCCTGGAAGTGCCCGCAGGGCCCAGGGCCCGGGAGCGTTCCTGCCCAGGAGCCTGCAGCGGGCGCCCCCAATAAACCCAGGCTGTTGTGTATTCCGGAGGACCGGAGCTGGCTGTCTGAGCCTCGCAGGGACAAGGGGGCAGTTTGGGAAGCAGGCTGGGCTGGCCTGATGCCCGTGCCCCGGGGGACTCGCCCTCCAACGTCACCAGACACCAATTCAGCGGGATGGTTCTTCGGTGGCCGCAGCAGGACCCCCACCCCCACCCCACCCCATCCCCAACTCTGCTGCTACCCCCACAGAGAGCCTCTGCGGGAGCCAGACTGGACACATGGGCAGCTGAGGCCCTGCCGGGGAGGAGGGGCCGCGAATGGATGGATGGATGGATGGATGGATGGATGGATGGATGGCGTCAGTCCCTTCCTGCAGGTGGGCATGGAAGGCCCTGCTGCTTTTGGGGGGTGCAGGGAGGGTCCCCAGATCCCAGAAGCGGGAGGCCAGTCAGGGTGGAGGCCAGGAGAGTGGGTCAGTGCATAGTGACCGGTGGGTTCTGAGCCTCCGCAGTTCCTCTTGCCTCCCACTTTCTGGGCATGACAGAGGAGGAGGAGGAGGAGTTGGGCAGGGGGACCCGTGGAAGCCAGCCCCCCGGTCCTGGGTAGACTTCTCCTCCCTCCGAGGCAGGCGGCCCTGCACTCCGACTGCAGGAAGTAACGGTGCCTTACCGAGCCTTAGCGAATGTGTCCCAGGTGCCCGTGCCAGATCATGTGCCCTTAAAGAGATTTAGCCCAACTCCTCTCCCCCACGGGCTGGCTCTTGGCCGCCACCGCCAGTGGCAGTGCTGCCACCTTCCCCCAGGGGGACCCAGGGTGCTCGTGGCTCCCCTTCTGGTTGGGGGAAGATCCCATGGGAACTCCAACGAGCATCTGGCAGCGCTCAAAGAGGGTGCTGAGGAACGCGGACTCTGGAGACAGCTAGGATTGCAGTCAAGGTGCGCAGCCACCCTTTCGCCGTGTGGTCAGGGAGCGGCTGGCTCAAGACCACTGTGCCTCAGTTTGCCCCATCTGTAAAATGGGTCTAATAAAATAGTACCTACCTCATGTTCTTAGGGTGCCCCTCAGAGTGCCGAGCAGAGAAGCAAGTCAGATACGTTATGTATTATTAATAGTATTGTTATTACTAGGGAAGGTTTGCGCGTAAGGAGTCAGACTGGGAACTCTGGGGCAGGCTGGTCCTCGGAGAGCTGGAACGGGTAGACAAGTCGGGGACAAGGTGCCACTGAGGCAAGAGGAGGAAGACTGTTCCCGAGGTGCAGGTGCCAACTCTCCCAGGTGCCTCTTGGGGCCAACACCCTTCCCCTCCTTCAAAATCTGCTGCAACCCAAACCAATGCCCCCTGCTAGACCTTGTGCAGTGGGGTGGGGGGAGGGCAGGGGTGCCCACCCATCCCCCAGGTCCCTTCATAGCCCTTGCCCACTCCCCACCCCTGCTCTGGGGGGGGGAGGGGCAGTCCTGTAAGGCCAGCTCTGGAGGCCTGGGACCTCCTGGCGCAATGCTCCGGCGTGTGGCCGAGTCCGCCCGGGCGTTATCCCGGGCCTTGTGCAGTTCCACGGGTTTGTATGGTTGAGAGCGCAGAAGCCCCCCTGCAGAGGTAGGTGGGGCCAGGTGTGACCCCTGGAGCCTGATGTTCCCCAGCTGCCAGCCAAGGAGGAGGCAGGTGCTTCTGCTCTGCCCGCCCCCCCCCCCCGCGCCCCCCAACACTTGGGGTCCCCTCTCGCAGCTCTGGGCAGCCCTGGCTCCCCGCTCCTTCCACGGAGAGCTGTCACCCGCTTCGGAGTCCCCCTTTCTGCACGCAGAAAGCTGTAGGCGAGCCTGTCCTGAGGCGGGGAGAAGAAGGGACCCCCCCATACCTGCACCCCCCGAGGTCCGTGTTTGCACATCGCTTCGGCCACGCTGCACGCAGTCCCAGCCCTTCTGATTGGCCGTGGGACCGGGCAAGGGGCACGCGGTGTGGGAGCGAGAGGGCGGGTTAGCCTCCTGGGTGCGAAGACAACAGAGGGCGAGGCAAAGGCTGCGGCACGGTGCGGGGTAACAGGGGCCAGGTCCCACCCAGGCCAGCTGCCAGCATGCGGAGGGCGGGCGGGTCTTTGGGTTTAGTGTGACGCAGGCTTGCAGCAAGGGCATGACTTGGTTTGATTGGACGTGCGGACTAGAACCCGGGGCCAAGCCTTGAGATCCCCCAGGCTGTGCCTTTTGGCATCTGGAATCTAACCTGGGTGCCCAGAGCATCAGAGGAGGGTGTGCTAAGTGCGTGTGTGCATGCGTGCGTGTGTGTGTCCGTGCGTGCATGCGTCCGTGCGAGAGAGCATGCGTGCGTGTGTGTGTGTGTGCGCGTGTGTCCTGGCGTGTATACGTCCGTCCGTGCGTGAGGGCGTGCGTGTATGCGTCTGTCGGTGCATGTGTCCGTGCATGCGTGCGTGCGTATATGTGAGCGAGAGAGCATGCGTGCACGCCTGCGAGCGAGCATGCATGCAAGCGAGCAACCCCTGCCAGGCGCACCTGGAACACGAGCTCCTTCCTGAGTGCTCCCGATCCCCAGCAGCACAGGCAGTGTCCCCGGGGTTGGGGGTGTGGAAACGGTCTCCTGCCTCGTGAGGTCTGTCAGTGGCCGCGCGGACTTGCAAGAAGGGGGACCTGCCTAACACAGCGAGCTGCGGCGCACGCGTGCGTGCAGACACAGCAGGCTCCAACTTTTCAGAATTGAGAGAAGACAAGCAAGCCTGCCCGGCGGTGGGGTGGGGGGCGCAGCTCCCCCCAGCTGCCTGCACTTGGGGCGGGGCGGGCAGTGGAGGCAGCACCCTTGTAAGCTGGGGTGCTGGTGGGAACAGGCAGAGATGGACTCAGCTGGTGGAGCTGTGAGACCGGACCACAGATGGACAGTGCTGGGCACCGTGCAGGGATCGAACCCAGGGCGCCAGCGTGCATTGAGCCGTCTCCCCAGGCCTAGCTCTAACCACCCCCAGTCCTGGGAACCTTCCCACTGCTCACTGAGAAACGGGAAGGAAGCGGGCGACGGCAGGTTTGACAGGCCAAAGACGCGGCGCGGTGTCCAGCTCAGGGTGCCCTGAGCGTGTGCGCGGCTGGGGTGTGTCCCCAGTGGGCACGGCCGGGTGGGGTACCAGAGAGGGCGCTGGACTCGAACACCTCCCACGGCAGCGAGGCGGTGGCAGGCATCCCCACCCTGGTGTCACAAACCGAAGGAAGTGGGCGGAAGGTGTGAAAGAAGTCCCAGAGAAAGTTCTGGAAGGGGAGAAGGTTCTGCAAGTTTCTGGAAGGGGGAGTACTGGCTCACTCTGGGTGAGAAGCTGGCCCTGTTGGCCTTGTTTTTAACCATCAGCAGGCAGGGGTGGTCAGGCACCTGGGGCGATGGCTCAGGGTGTTGGTTAGTTCGTGGATCTCTTAACATGCAGCTTTCAAGTTTTTGTATCTTTTGCTCTGTAAGCCCCTCTTTGTCTCTCGGATCCTCAGTAAAGTCTGCACCATCCACCAAGGTCCTTGTGTGAGTGATTACTTCCGCCGGAAATGCCCACGGTGCCCAGGAACAAGAGGCAGCAGAGCCCAGCAGGCTGCCCAGCCCATGCGGGAACTGCACACAGACTCTGCTCGTGCAGGGAGCCCTGGGGTCCACCTCCCGCACGTCAGCAAGCTTGTGCTGGGGGGCAGACCCCCAACCGCCCTCCCAGCCAACACCACTGGAGGTGGACCCAGTACAGAAAGACAAAAGCTTAGCAGAGGCAGCTGGAGCAATAGCACAGCAGGGAGAGCGTTTGCCTTGCATGCGACTGACCCAGATTCAATCCCCGGCATCCCATAGGGTCCCCCCGAGCACCGCCAGGAGTAATTCCTGAGTACAGAGCCAGGAAGAACCCCTATGCATCACCAGGTGTGACCCAAAAAGCAAAAACTAACTAAATAAATAAATAAAAAGCTAAACGAAGGCTGGGATCAAGTTGTCCAAGGTACATGGCTGGAAGCCTGATCACGTGACTCGGACGTGGCCCAGGTGATATGAATCGCTCCCAGTGGGTCCCAGGTTGCAACCGCCTCTGAAGCCTCCCGACTCTGTGTGGCTCTTGGTAATCACTGCGATGTGAGCCTGGTTCGATGCTTCCCGGTTCACAGGCTGGAGCTGGCATCTGTTGGTCCCTGGATCCAATGTTGGCAGGTTTGCCTGCTTCTGCTTCTCATTACGTTTCTCTCAGCTTGGGGGAGCCTCATGCCAGCTCGTAGGCGGCATTGGCCCCGTTTCCACATTGGGGTGGATCCTCCCATCGGAATCCTCCCATCTCTGCTTCCACCAGCCCTATTTTTTCATACATGGTTTGAAATGACGACGTGTTTGGTTGGTTGGTTGGTTGGTTGGTTGGTTGGTTGGTTGGTTTGGGGGGGCCACACCTGGCTGTGCTCAGGGCTCGGTGCTCAGGGGTCGCTCCTGACAGCGCATGGCGGACCCTATGGAGTACCGGGGATCAGACCCAGGTCAGTCACAAGCAAAGCCAGTGCCCCACTCACTGTCCTACACAGCGCAGAGATGACAACTTTTTGCACTGTGTCTTGCCAACCGCGTGCTGAGTTTGCATGGCCCAGAGTGGGGCGTGTCAAAACACTAGCAAGCTCCCATGGGGACACCCCTTCTCAGGGGTTTGGGGATTAGCTCTGAAGCCTTGTTTACCTGGAGTACATTACACCCCTTTACCACTCTGAGTGGGTATAACCATGGAGCCCAGGTCTGCCGCATGCAAGGCAGGCGCACCTTCCTGCTGTCCTATCTCTGCAGCCCTTATGAAATGGGGGTTATGTTTTAAGTGGTTGGGGATTAAAAATAAATCATAAGGGGGGCTGGAGTAATAGTACAACAGAAAAGCACTTGCCTTGCACCCAGCCC